CCCTGCACCAGGAAGGAAGGGACATGTTGCAGTGGGGTGTGTGTGTATGTGTGTGTGTATAGAGGTGGATAATAGACCAATTTTTTAGTTCTTTGGTGTGGAAAGGGATGGGAGAACTGCTTAATCTCCCCACTAGTCTGCTGTCTTCCTTTCCCTTCTGAATCTGGCCAGGGCACGAGGAGTATGGTCACAGTTCCAGCTCTTTTTTTTGGTGCCAGTTTAAACCCTATTGTGCCACATAAGTATTAAAGCCCCTAAGTCCCCTCTCCTCCGGATGAGAGACAGGAAGCCAAGCTAGAATAGGAAAGGGTTTGGAGAGCCCAAGGTAACACAAATAGCTCTCATGACCCCTGGACAGGGTAACTCAGTCTCACAGGCTTTGCTCCATTTCCGGTTTAGCGGGGAGGAACCTCCTGGAAGGTCCAGCCAGGCCCAGCCACTCCCAGCCTGTCCTCCCTGTCCCGGCTCCATTTTCTGTTTTTGGGAGATCTGAGGAGAGGAAGGTGAGGTAGGAATGGGGAGGGAAGGGCTGGTGATTTTGCCAACCTCTCCCCCTGAATCCTAAACTCTATGAGAACAGGGAAGGTCTATTTTTTCCCTATCCATATTCCAGGCACAGTCTGTAAGGGTTAATAAATGCCCATTACAGGAGTGATGGCTGGTCACTATTTCTCTGCATCATCCACGCATCTGGTGTGAAAGCCTGGAATAACCAGAGAAGCTAAGGAACAGAAGACAACTGGATTACTGACATCTACTAGGTCAAATCAATTCCTTTGCAGAATATTCAGACCCTTTCTGACCCTGCGCATGCTTACTCCTTTCACTCCCTGGTCACCTCAGCACTTTAAGAATTTCCCTTAATTCAGCATGTCTCTTGTGTGTAATTTCCATTGGAATCTGCTTGGTAAAGACCAAATCATTCTTTTTTTTTTAAAATTTTTTAAAAGTAGATTTATTTACTTATGCATACAAGAGCTGGGGTACAGGCCAGAGGTTGTTGAGAGTAGGGGGAAGATTCACCAGAGACAGAGTGGGGAGCAGAACAGACTGAAATGCACTGCTGAAATATACTGCTTAGGGGAGCAGCGGGCGAGACAGGAGAGGTCTCCTGTGCCCTGTCGGTTAGCTCCCAGGCTGGGAATTGAATTCATGCTGCTGTGGCTGTGGATTGCTTGAGTGCCAAGATTTAACCCCTTGCACCACCAGGGAGGCCCCAAGACCAACTCATTCCTGTAGCTTCAGCTGCAGGATTCTAAATGCCTCCAGGTCTAATGAATGATTCTGATGTCACCTGAGACATACCTTCATACTTCAGTTATTTCAATTGCCCCATGGCACAATACTTGTTTACTTGCCTGCCAGAACAGAGCTATGTGCTCCATGAGGACAGAGTCTACATCTTACTAAATTTTTTAATCCCCTGCACCTAACATGGTAGTTAGCACATAGTCAGTGCACATTTGTTAGATGAATGAGTTAGTAGATGAGTAGGCTCACATTTTTATAGGGGAGACAAGCAAGTAAAGAGAAAATGACAGAGCTGTGTGAGAAGGGTCACGCTCACAGCTGATTGTGGGTACAGAGAGGAAGGAATGTCCAGGCACCCCCTTCCTACTTTCTGCCTCCTGCAAGATGCAATTGAAAATAAAAATAGTACACAATAAAATTAAACTTTATTTTTGAAATAAAAAAATCTTAGCCATACAAACAAAAGTAGGTAAGTTCTTTCTTTTGGGAAAAGTGTAATTCTGTTGATAGTAATAGTTCTGTTCTGTTGATCTGATAGAGTCAGGGTGCTGGCACTCTCCAGAAGAACTTAACTGATGGGCATATATGACAACGGGCAGAGACGTGGGCAGGGTTAAGGAGACCATTTTTGGGTGAAGAGGCACTTAAACACTGGCAACAGAGGGAAGCTGATACCACCCCAGGCCTGGAGATCTGGTCTGGGCTCCTGGAAGTGTAGGCAGGGAGGAGCACCACCCCATCAGAACCTCAGCAGCAAGCTGGTTGTGGAGGAACTTTAACCTTGCTCTCTTCCCACATTCCTATCTGCCTCTGCCTCAGCCTTCATCTGGGTTCATCTGAAGCCAAAGGGCAAGTGAGCTCTCCAGAGACAGTTTAGAGAGATCACTGGCCAGGGCAGGAGAGGGCAGCAATAATGGATCTGGGTGATGGGAGGGAAAATGGAGACTAATCAGCACAGAGGGGAGAGATGCCTGCTTTTGGGGAGATCTATGTGTGTGATTAGTCTGCCTGTTGGGTAATCGAGCACTGACTCAAGCCTGTGGATGACAATTCTGGCTCTCATCTTTTGCATATTTAGGTATTTGTGTATCCAAGCTTATTAAAATCTGTGCCTCATAATTAGTAGATGTGGGGTGGGACGGGGTATGTGTTTTAAAAAGCTTCCCAAGTAACTTTGATAGACCCTATCTGTTGAAAACCACTTTTGTAGTCTCGCTCTCTTACTTCTATAGATAGGATGTCTAAGGTCCAGAGAAATGAAAAATGACTTGCTCTAAGAACTAACTCTTAGGTAATGTTAGGGGATTTGGCTGGAAAACAAACATTTTCACTTATCTGTTAGTCCAGTTTTTTCATTTTATTGATGAGGAAACTGAGGCTTCAAAGATGGAGTCATGTGCCCACTTATATAGCTAGTAAGTCAAAGAGAAGGAGAGACTATTAGTAAGTATAGTCTATCTATTGCTCAATCCCCAGCTGGCCAGGTTGCTACCCACATGGCACAACAGACCTCTCCTGTCTCTCCCACTGCTCCCCTCAGCAGTGTATTTCAGTCAGTCTGCTTGTTGTGTTCCCCACTCTGTCTCTGGTGAATCTTCTCACACCACCCCCCCACACCTCTGGCCTGTACCCCAGCATAAATGAATAAATCTTTTTAAAAAAGATGTATCTGAAATCTTTACCTCTGGGAAGCCATCTCCCCCACAAAAGATTCAAATAGGCTTTTCCAAAGATGTCCAGAGGAGGCTTTTTCCAACATGTATCACCTTGGTGTACTGTACTAAGGTCAACTGAGGCCCTCAGGGCCTTAGGAGAAATTATTATCATCACTTAAATAATTCAAGATTTAAGGATATCTCCAGAAACAACCTTTTAAATCAGAGAAACCTATCTGAAGTCAGTGCAGCCATCTAGAGAAAAAGTTTTGTCCTATGGAGTCATCCACACCTCCTCATGTGAAACCCCCTCTTGCCTCCCTGCCCCGTACACTAGATATGGTGCCCCCTCCCCATTTGTCCAATTTACTTTAGAATTTACTCTCATGTAAATTCTCCATGGTATGTTATTAAATTTGATCTTTTTCTCCTACTCATTCTGCTGATGTTAATTTGTTGGTCCATCCAACCTCAAATGAACCTTGGATTTGGGAGGAATTTCTTAGATCATCCACTCATCAAATATACAAGGAAATCAAGGCCAGAGAAGGGAAGTGATTCACCGAGTCACAGAGCATGGAAGTGGCTAAACTGGAACTAGATCCCAGTCTGTATCTACCAGTTCACCTGTGTAGTTCCCATGATTCTAAATACGCTCGGTTTCAAGTGTGCCTGCGCACCTTTTTTGTAATAGCACAACATCTACTTAAGTTGTGTCTTTGGCCGTGAGTCCACACGTCTTTGGGTTGTTCAGTTTTGCCTGGTTGTTCTTATGCGTGTGACAGTTGTCTCTGAGTTGTGAGAAGTGTGTGCCCAAGGGTAACTTAGTCTCTGTTATGACATATGTGTTATTTTATGTTGAAAGCTGTGTCTACCTGTGGTTGTACATTTTGTGTGTATGTACTTGTTAGGTACCTACACAGCCACAGGGTGACTGATTCTGTACACCTTTGTGTATTTGTTAGGACTATGGGTCGGTGAGCTGCTAAGAACCTAGACATATGTCTCTTCCTGTTGCGGATTGAGCATCTGCTGACCACTGTGTATCCATTTTGGTCTGCGTTTGGACATAGCACTGTTGTGGGTCTACCAGCGATTGTGTCTCTGTGGACTGCATGTTAAAAGGCTGTGGGGATAGAATGCAAACTGGTCCAGCCACTATGGAAAGCTGTGTGGAGGTTTCTCAATCTGCTGAAAATGGAGCTTCCATATGATCCAGCAATTCCACTCCTAGGTATTTACCCAAAGGACACAGAAACATCAATTCCAAAGAGCACCTGCACCCCTATGTTTATAGCAGCACTGTTTACAATAGCTAAGCTTTGGAAACAACCCAAATGCCCAAAAATAGATGACTGGATCATGAAGATGTGGTACCTATATACCATGGAATATTACTGAGCAATCAAAAAAGATAAACTCATGCAATTTGCAGCAACATGGATGGATCTGAAAGGGATCATGCTCAGTGAAATAAGCCAGAAAGAAAAAGAAAAATACCGGATGGTCTCACTCATAGCAGGAATTTAGAAAACCTAAATAAGGGAGCAGGAAAAAGACTAATTATAACAAAGTAAAAATCAAAATCAACAAGCAACTGGAAACCAGAGACACACTGGGGTGAGGGGGAGAAGGGAGTAGAATCAAAACAAGGGGTGTGTGTAAATAGTATGGGGACTATAACCAAGATGAAAATGCATATATTGTGCAAAAATGAAAAATGATGTAAAAATATATATAAAATTAAAAAAAAAAAAAAGGCTGTGGGGTATAGGTTTTGGCTTCTTACCCCTGGGTTATGAGAAAATGTGTGTAGCCATGTGTCCAGGACAGGAATGCGGCTCTCTTTCAGCCAAACTCTGTCCTCACCCAGGAACTGGGGTCACGGTCACATCCCGGGATGCCGGGGCCCAGAGACCCGGCGGGGCGTGGCCTCGGGGCCCCGCCCCCGGAGAAGCCGGAGGTGCCTGGACGGCGAGGCCACTGAGGCCCCGCCCCCCCGCCTCCCGCCCGCTCATTGGCCGAGTCCGCAGTGACGTCGTGGGGATCGCAGACAGAACCCCCGGAGCCGGGCGCGCGGGCCGCGTTGTCCGTCACTCCGGGCTTTGTCTGCTGCTCACCTGGCCGCGGGCGCGTCCTGGCCGCCCAGCCCGGAGCGGGGTGCCCGCCGTTGCAGCCGCCATGGTTTCCCCAGTCACCGTGGTGAGTGCGCGCGCGGCGAGCCCGCATCCGGCGCGGCCGGTCGGACCCCCCCGGCCAGGGGACGGGGCTGCGGCAGGCCGGGCCGCGGGGGGCCGGGACCCGGCAGGGGGCCGTGTGCGGCCGGCCTCCCCCCACCCGGGCGGGAGGTGGGCGCTGTCAGGGTCCCGGCTCCCCAGACCCGCGGGGCTCCTCCTTCGCGCGCCCCCCGCCTCCCCGCGGGAGGGAGGGGAACAGTGGGCACGTGACTAGGAAGCGTGACTTTGTTGATCTCTGTCTGCGGCGGGTTGGCGGGGTCGGGCGGGGGAGCGGGGGGCGGCCGCGGGGTGCTGCGTGGGCAGACCGCAGGGAGGCGTGGGGGAGACGGGGGTGGGCCACGGGGTGGCTGGGTCCTCCTGGGAATCTTGTCCCAAATTTGTTTCTTCCCCTTCCTTTAGGAGGCTGGGGTGGGAGTGGGGTGGTGAGGCGTGGGGGGCGGGGGACGCCCCTCGTCTAAGCGCATTGAAAAAGTATTGGAGGAAGAGAAGTCATTCTCTCTTGACACCTCCTCCTTTTCAGACTTTCTCAAGAACCGCTGTCTTTCCCCCCGTGCTGCTGCTTGTAGTGCTGGGCTAGAGTCTCCCCAGCCACTAATGCCTTTTCTCCTTCTAGGAAATTTGGGATGAAGTAGATGTTGATGTTTCTGAGGGCTGGCAGGCGGATGCTGAGGAGACCTGGGGACTCTGGGACTTTGCATCTTCTCCAGTGTCCTCTGTCCAGGCCCCCGGCCTGACCCGCTGGGGGATGCAGGAATCTCCATCCGAGGGAACTTAGTCGCCTGTTCTTCCTACTCTCACCCAAGGCAGTTGACAGGGCAGGCTTAGACCCAGGTTGCACCCATCTGGCTCTTCCCAGCCTCCCTCATCACAGTCTGATCATTCCCCGGGTATCTGGAGGTCTGGATGTCTGATTAGTCCCCCTGAGCCCCGTGCTTGACACCTCACCCACCACAGGCATTAGCACTCTGGGCAGAGACTGGGTGTACAGGGTACCCTGTACCAGAAACCCAAGGAAAGGAGCTTGGGGATCAGGAAGATGCCTGCTCTGACCTTTCTTTAACAGCCCCCCTCCCGAATCCAGCTGAGAACAAGTCAGCTGCTTGAACTTCTCTTTCTTAGTTCCCCATCTCCTCCCAGTCTGGCTTCAGATCAGAAGTTGGGAAGAGAACCCCTCCCCCTTTCCTGCTTCTCTCTCTGGTGTGCCTTGAAGTTGCCCTTGTTCTCTGGGAAACTAGACTAGCTGTTGCCTCGTGTTCCCCCCTCCCTGCCTTCCCTCCCTCCCCATCCTTGAAATCCCCTGTGTTTCAGGGACACTTTTTTTGCTTCCAACTCATGGGCCCATTTCTCTAGTCAGGATCCCCCCCGCCCCCGTCCTTTATGGTGTCTTTAGGTACCTTTAGTGCTAGTTGAAGGGGAGGCTGAGGAGCAGATTGAAGGAGGTGGGAGCCTGTGGAGGCTGAGGTGTGGTTGGCAGTGCTTACCCACACACATTCCTGGCACTCACCTGGTGTTGCCAGGGCCCTAAGCCTGTGCCCTGGCCCCAGTGCAGAGGATCACGAGTTGCCAGTCATGGACTCTGTTGCTTCCCGCTGACTCCACTCTATTCCAGACAGCTGGGGGCAGATTCTGGAAGAGCTAAAGGGCCTTTGGAGGGGGGGAAAAGGGCAGGAAGGGAGAGGCATTGAGCTGCCTGAGGCTGCTCCATCCCAAGGTCTGTTTTCTGTCCCTGAGTGATGTTCTGGCCTGGGGAACAGTGGAGCCTTTCTCCTTCGTAATCAGTTATGCCTCAGGGTGGTGATAAGCTTGTTCACACCCTGCTGGCAGGTTGGAGTTGGCCAGACCGGGTTTCTCTATGTTCGCCCTCAGAGGAGTGGGGCCTGGCTCTGGGTTGGGTGTCTGGGCTGAGGATACTGGCCCTGAGTCCCCTAATCGGGTTCTAAGCTCCCCAAGCACTGAGTGCTGCCCTTGTCCTGTGTCCTCCAGGTGAAGAGTGAGGGACCCAAGCTGGTGCCCTTCTTCAAGGCCACCTGCGTGTATTTTGTGCTCTGGCTGCCCTCGTCCAGCCCATCGTGGGTCAGCGCCCTCATCAAGTGCCTGCCCATTTTCTGCCTCTGGCTCTTCCTTCTGGCCCATGGCCTAGGATTCCTGCTCACCCACCCCAGTGCCACCCGCATCTTTGTGGGGCTCATCTTCTCTGCTGTAGGTGATGCCTTCCTCATCTGGCAGGACCAGGGCTACTTTGTGCACGGTTAGTGACCACTGTAGCTATCTGAGAGGGATCCTGAGGCTGGAGTCCAGAGGGGTCCTGGGTGGGGGACACAGATTTGGGAAAGGGACCTATCAATCATATGAGGGATCCGAGGGTTTCTGAGACCAAACACAATGAAACACACTGGGGTCCCTCTTTGGGATGATCTTGCAGGTGATCTGGTGATCAGTTCCGGAGTTCCCAGTGGTGGTGGTTGGGGGGCGGGGGTGGTGGTTGGGGGAGATCTCTTTACCTTGGTGGAATTCTTCCCATTACTCCCCAAACAAAACTCCTGGGTTATCCCAAGCACTCCACTGATACCCCACCTCCCACACTTGTGTCTCACCTGAGCCTGCTTTCAACATCCCTTCCTCCCTTTTCACTCCCAGGTCTGCTGATGTTTGCAGTGACCCACATGCTCTACGCCTCAGCCTTTGGCATGCGGCCACTGGCTCTTCGGACAGGTCTGGTTATGGCAGTGCTGTCAGGCCTGTGCTATGCCCTCCTGTACCCCGGCCTCTCAGGTGCCTTCACCTACTTGGTGGGGATCTACGTGGCCCTTATCAGCTTCATGGGCTGGCGGGCTGTAGCAGGGCTAAGGCTGGTGGGGGCAGCCTGGCGCTGGACGGAGCTGGCGGCGGGAAGTGGTGCGCTGCTCTTTATCATCTCTGACCTGACCATCGCCCTCAACAAGTTCTGCTTCCCCGTGCCCTATTCACGGGCGCTCATCATGTCCACCTACTACGCTGCCCAGATGCTCATCGCCCTGTCAGCTGTTGAGAGCCGGGAGCCAGTGGAAGACTATAGACTGAGCAAGGCCAACTGAGAGGCCAGGATCTGGTCACTCCTCTCTCCTGGGGCTGGGGTCCCCTGAAACCTGGGAATCTGTAAGGGCTGGAGCAGGATGGCTATAGGGCATCCTAGGGCAGCAGGCTCTGTCTGGGAAATGTGTAAGTTAAAAGGGGTAAGCAGGATCTCCCCAGCAAGTCTAGGGTCCAAGACAATGCTGAGAGCTAAAAAGAGCCAGCTTAATACTCCTTGTTGGAGCAAGAAGTACACATCTCCCTACCCCTGCCCCATCAGGACTGTCCAAGCCCCTTTGAAGGGTGATGGTGCTCAGCCTGACCTCCCCCCACTTCTACTAAATGGAAGAGTCTGACTCACCCACTCCCACTCTTTCTGAGCTAAGCAGAGTTGAGGGAAGAGGGGAGAAATCTGTGTTGAGATGAGTCAGGTCCAAGGCTTGAAGCCCCTTTCACAGGCCCTTAGTTGGGAAGATTTGATGAGGGTGGAGTCTCCCTTTCCCTCATCTATCCTTGTTACTTGAACAATCTCAAATTCTCAGTGATGGGTGGGAAGGTGAAAGAGGGGTATCTTGTCCAGGTAGGTAAGAGAAGGGATTTCTTTGGCCTGGGAGCTTGGGGTACCAAGGATTCAAATTGGTCCCATCTCAAAGTCATCCCAGAGCTCAGGCCCCACACCACCACATCCTTAGACCCTATTGCCAGGGATAGGGTGAATTATGCCAAAGGAAGGGGCCAACTTGTGTGAGTGTGTGTGTGTACGTGTGTGTGTGTATGGTCTGCGTTCCAGCTTATCTATGTCTTTCTCTGCCATCTTGTCTCTGTCCTGCTGTTGTCAAAGTCTTATAGGGAGAGGGACTCAGGGAGCTGCTGAAGGGGGATGCTGAGCCTGGCTCAAGAGAGCTGTCCCCCCCACCTGCCCAGTGCTTTCCTCCCAGCCCCCTCCTGAACTGGGAGCAAGAGGAGGGAGCGCCAATGACACTCTAGGGTCATAAGACCCGAGGCACATTCAATGCAAGGGGATCCAGGATGGAACAACTCCATCCTCTACTTCTCATGAAAAAAAGAAATAAAAACTAAGGGCTATTGGTTGCCCCATTTGTCTGCCTGAGTAGCACGTGCCTGTTCTGGAGAGGAGAGGAGAGGGTGGGGGCACGGTGCCAGGGGCCTGGATGTCCTCACAGTCTGGGTCACAGTCCTGGCCAGTGCATCTTGGCGCCAGGCTGGCTCCCTGGCTCTGGTGACGCTGTGCTGGTAGGAGTGGGTCTCACTTCCCCGGTCATGCGTGTGGGTAAGGATGTAGTTCTGGGTGAGGGATGGGGACCTTCTGAATTTGGTTCATACATTCCCTTATACTTGGGTACCCACCACCTTTGGTGATCTTAGCTACACAGTGTCCTCTCCTGATGCCCTCTCCCCACCCCCAATTCTGGGCTCAGTCTGGGATTGGCTGATTCATACTTCAGATGTGAAGCCCTGGCAGAATAAAGCCTCACCCCACTGCAGGGGCATTTGCATCTTAATGGGCAGTACTGTGATCCAGAAATGTAAAGGGCAACCTTGGGTGGTGGTAAATATGCCCTTAGTAGCAGGGTTATTTACAGTTGTGGGACATGATAAGGGAGACTCGAGTCCCATGTGGATATTAGATAAATCAGAGATTTTCAAACTAGGATTTTTACAGCCCTCCATGGTAAGAGATAGCTAATAAGTAGAGAAGGGAGGCTCAAAGACCCCTTATTCCTGTTTTAAGTCTAGTAGCTTCTTTTTTTTTTTTTTTTAATAGAGGCATGTTTTATTTATTTATTTATTTATTTACTTGTTTGTTTTGTTTATACATGCACTGGGTACAGTCAGAAGCGCAGGAGGGTGAGAGAATTCACCAGAGCAGGGAGCAGAGCAGGCAGAAGGAACAAAGTACACTGCTGAGGGGAGCAGCGGGCGGCAGGAGAGGTCTGCGCGCCATGTGGGACCCTCCTCCGGTGGCCGGGGAGCAGCCGGGGATCGAACCGGCACCGCAGAGGCTGCGGGCAGCTTCGCAACCCAGCGCTCAACCGCTGCGCCACCGGGGAGGCCCCAGTCTAGTAGCTTCTTAAGACCTTTTTTAAAGGATGTCACTGCAAAACATTTAAGTTTGGAACCCAGTAAGCTGAATGACCAATCTTCCTAGCTCTGAGATGCTCTCATTCTCAAACAGTGGGACCCCTGGGTGCTAAAGAGGCAAGGTTCTGATCCCTCAAATCCTGGACTGTCAAGACAGACCAATCTGGGATGAAGAAATGGGAGGGAGAGGATGAAGTTGCAAAACTTATCCTCTATACCCGGATGGGAGGGGCACAGAGGGGAGGGAAAAGTGACTGCAGGGATGGGGAAGGGAAGTCCTGGACCACTCAGAGGGGGCTGGGCACTTCCCATGTGGGTGGGTTTGAATTAGGCTCTAGGGGTCTGTGTTCTGCATCTCCCCATCCCATTCTTGCATCTATCTACTTGGTCCCTGCTGTACACCATCCTCAGGGACCAGCAAAGGTGAGCTCAGTCAGTTTATTGTCCCTCCAACCCTGATGTTTATATCGACAAGCACCAGAGAGCAAACTGGGCTTCCCTCATTGGGGGCCATGCAGAGGACAGTTCAAGAAGCCCCGTATCACAACATTTTCCTGATGCCTGGAGCTTGCATAAGGTACTTTGATTTTTTTCTGCAGATTCTCAGTGACTGACACTAGAAATACTTATCATCTTTATCTGAAAGAACAAAATGTGTATTTGTTAGTGTTAATGGTGCTGGAGGCAGGTGAAACTCCAGATAACTGGACGTGTTACTGGGCAGAACCAGGGGCTGGAGCCTGGCTGACACCCTCACTTCTCTGGGGTTAGACCCCAATCTGTGTCCCAAGGTCTGTTGATTGTAAGGGCGCAAAAGCAGCCATTTATTCAGCACTTAATATTTGCCAGGCATTGTGCCAGGTACTTCCAAACATTCTCTCATTTAAGCCTCCACAATAGCCCTAGGAAGCAGAAAAAAAGGCTTCAATGTGACTTGCCAAGGTCACAGGGCCTCGACCTCTTGTGCTCACAATTGGAGTTGTCAGAGTTCGCTCTAGCTGGGGAATGAAAGCTGGCTGTCTCTCACAGTGCCTGTCTTGGCCTAGTTCTGTTATACAGTTCAGCAGTCACTCTGGAGGCATCATCTCAGTGCTAGACACTTTGAGCACTTGAGAGACAGAGCAACAGGACATGGTCCTTTCCCTAAGGGGAGGCATCTATAACAGGATGAAAGTGGTCTATAACCACGGAGACCATGGCAATGAAGTGTCATGGAGAGTTCAGGGAGTGGCAGAGGATAAAGCTGGATCAGGGCCGACTTTGGTTGGGACTTTATCAAGAGGATCATGGGAAATCTAGAAGGGAGTCTGAACAAGAGGGAGCAAAGCAGATCAGCTTTGCATTTGGAATTCATGCTGCTGTCAGTATAGCTATGAAGACAGAATTATAGAATAAGAAATAAAATTTCCCTCTTAAGTACACGAGCATAAAAGTGGTAGTGTGCAGAGGGAGGGCTTCTAGTAGGCTCCCTTCAGTTCTTCCATCTGCTTCATTCTAAACCAGCAGTTTTCAGTCTTGGCTGCACCTCAGAATCATTTGCAAAATCTTGTAAACAGATTTCTTCTAGAGCCCTGCCAGAGAGGTTGTGATTGGTAAGTCTGGTTTAGGCCTGATCACCAGTATCTTTTTTTCCAGGAGGAATCTAAGCCCATCAAGGATTGCAAACTACAGTCTGCTGAAAGCTGGCAGACTCCCATGTCTGCAGGCACCAGGCACATAACAAATGATAACCAGAGGAAGGACAGTAGTGCAACTGTGACCATTTAGAGAACACTTCCATCTGATGGCAGATTAAATAAAAATGCAAAGAATGGATGGACTTACCCACGAGGCAGCCATTTTGCACTTCTGCCTCAGAGGGAACACAGCTGCACAGCCCCCACCTTAACCCCAGCCTGTGGCACTCTCACCTTAGACCATGAACTTGCAGTTGCTGCAGATCCTTGCCCAGCTCATTCTCTGCCAGCATGCTGTAATGGCCACTGTCGTTGAGCGTGCAGGTGGGGATGACAATGGTGCACACGCCGCTGGTGGAATTGTACCAGAACTTGGAGTTGGCCATGATGTTGATGTCAACTTTGTTGAGGGTCACCGTGGGCCACGGGTTCCCAAGGAAGGCGCAGGTCATGGTGCAGTCCTGGCTGCTCAGCACAGTGTGCGACTTGAGCGGTTTCACGAAGCGCAGTGGTGTGGGTGGCACCAGTCCTGTTGGTGCGGCTTCAATTTAGAGCTCAGGTCCTGGACTGTGAGGGACAGGACTCGGCAGTGAGGGACAGGACTCGGCGGCCGCGAGCGTTCCATGGCCCTGAACGCACGGCCGCTGGCCCAGAGCCCTGAAGGCACCGGGGAGACCCTGGAGATCCTGGAGACGCGGCCCAGAGGAGGACCTGGGCTAGATTTCCAGATGCAATCAACCTCTGGGGCCCAACTTTGTACTAAGTTCCTAAGATCCCACCCCCTTCCTCCCCTCCCTACTAACCCCTAGTTCCCCAACCCCCTACCTCTCCCACCCCCATGGCTCCAGGGTTCCAGGTCCTAAACCAGGGGTTTTTACGCTTTTCCAGACTGGTGAGTGCTCTACTTATTTATTTTTTGACAGTCTCTAGCTTCACGAACCCATAGCTGTTCCTCGGCTTTTAAGTCCCCACACAAGCTCTTCCCAATGTCACCCCAGTCTCTGCTCTCTCTGCTCTCGCCCATTTAGTCCTCATTTCAAGTTTCGCTAGGCTATTGCCACCTTTCACCCTGTCCCTCAGGCTTCCAGAGCTTTCTCCAAGCTTCCCTGTGTCCCTCCCATTCTCATCCTTGTCAGCCCCTCCCAGTCAGAGGGGGATGTCTCACTCTATCTTCCCCCATTCTCTTCCCCCCTCTTTTCTGGGCCCTCCACCATCATCCTGTTCCCAAGTGCATCTAACATATCTCCTCCCCTAGGCTTCAGTGACCACCACTTCCTTCCCCCAGGTCTCCAGCATTAACCTGTCCACTCTAGTGGGTCTCTGATTTTACCTCAAATCTTGGGTACACCTTGCAATCCTTATGTCATTCCCTCTATCACAGATCCTGGACATAATCTGAACACCCAAGTTCTCCTACTCGCTCTTGTCTTTGTTGACCAGCCAGGTATCCTCGGAGTCTAGTGGGTTACTGTCACCAGTTTCATTCCGGGCCACCACTCAGAAGGAGTACTTCCTGCCAGGGAGCAAGCCGGTCACCTTGTACTTGTTGAATACTCGGTGGGCGGCAGTGAACCAGGTGGCTGTGGTGGCTTCCCGCTTCATGATGACGCAGTGGGCCTCCCTGTCATTCTGCACATCAGGGCTGTGGTCCCAGATCAGTCACCGTAATTAGGACCTCCTCAAACACTTGTAGATTTGTGGGTGGCCAGCGAAAATCTAGAACAGTTGGAAGGCCCCTAAGCTACCCTTGGGCCCATAGTATTTGCCCTTACCCCAGCAACCTGGTGTGCCCTGTGGAGAATGGGATGGGGCACATCCTTTCATCCGGTCTCAGACAGCTAGTGTCTGAGAGTCAGAACAATGAATTCTGAAGTGAAACTTAGCCATTTACTAAGCTGGGGGCTGGGCAAGTTACTTACCTTTTTTGAGCTCCATTTCCTTGTTTGCAAATTAGGGCTAACAATAACTATCACCAGAAGGTGGGGTAAAGTGCCTAACACATAGTAGCTGTTTAATAAAACAGTTATTTATGGCTAAAACCTGCCTTATTTATAGCTATTACTTGAAATTCATATCCTGTGTCCAAAAGGAGACCATCCACGGTGCACTTGGTGTCTGAAATGGGAATTTGAGGGACCATGAGGCCAGGAGCTCCAAGGACAAGAGATCATAGACTAAAAGCACATGGAACAGGGAGTGCTATTAAAACCCATAAAGGAACTGGGGGAGGGAGTATGTTCAGAGGAGCAGGGGTAGATGAATCCACCCAGAAAACCCCCTTGGTCCGGCCTGGGCCTCTGTCCATGAGACGTGGATGGGGTCCTTGTTGACTGGTACCCACAAGTTACTGCCTTTCTTCTTCCACTCCACCATGTAGCCGAGGACTGGTGCTCCCCATCCTGGCTGGGGGCATTCCATGTGATAGTCACATCCTCTTTCGTCACATCAGTCACTTGAGGCTGGGAGGTAAGACAAGGGAGCTCTATGGGGATAAAGAGTGGGCAGAAGTTAGGAGGGGGAACATGGAGAGAGTTGTCCATGCTGACCTTTGGTTCCCCTCACAAAACCCTGAAACCAATGAATCTGAACTCTGGTTATATATTAACATCAAGTGGGGGGAAAAAAACAACCCAACAACAGTAGCTAATGTCTGGGTCCTACCTCCAGATATTCTAGTTTAATTGGATTGGGGTAGAGGTCAGGCATCAGCATTTTTTAAAGATCCCAAGTATAGCCAAGATTGACAATCACCAACTTCAAACTGCCAACCTGTGTTATCCCCAGTGCCATTTCTTAATGTACTGTCTTCACACATCAACACATGGAGATCAGTTGGGAGGTGCACAGCAAGTAACTAATTAGTTATCATCATTAAAATGGGATGTTAAGGTTTTTTCCTTTGAGGAAAGAAAAAAAACTAGAATGGATTTAAAGTTATCCCTAAAGTGACATCACTTTCATTTGGATTTGGGATGAGTTCTAGAATAGGGAAACAACAGGGGTCAGTTCCCTGGGGTCATGGATGGTTCTGGATATACATATCCAGGAGGGTGTTGTACATGTGATCTGAACGGGAAAAGTTGATAATTTCTGCCCCAAATGATGTTCTGCTCTTACCTTGGAATCCGTCTCCTGGGATAGCTAGAGAGATGACCCTGTGGAATTTCCCACACACCAGCTTTGCTCATTGGCTGACGGCCCCCTGCTGACCCCTGAGCTCCCCACTGATCACAGGCTATCTCACTGACCAATAAAATTTCCTGAAAACACTTCATCTGTCTCCAATGGGTCGCTCACTCCTCCTGTATTGACTGACAGGATATGAAACTGGCAAGCTTTTCCTCCTTCTACCTTGTTGGTGGCGAATTGGGTGACTTTACTTTCTACCTCGCCTATCCTAACCCAAGATTTCTTGCCAACTGCCCTCATGCCACTATGAACTGTGTGTCACAGGTCACCCACCATTGTCCTTTGGAGTCTTCCACTTCATGTGCACACAGCTGCCTGAGAGCTCCAGGAATTCCACTTTGCCCTGCGGAGGCTTGGGATGATCTAGAGACACAAGATAGCTTCAGAATGGGGCATTGGAGCCAAGATCACAAGGGTTTTAGCTCATTTGCTAGAGAGCCACTCAGACTGGGACACAGCTAGATCCCAAGTTTCTGGTTTCCTTGCTTTTCCCCCACGTGCCCAAAGAGCTTCATTCTGGCCCCAAGGGACTTTTGCCTGCCCATAAATGGGTAGACTGGAGATTTGAGAGACTCTACTGCTCCTGATCCCTATTAGTCACCTTCCAGACAAGATCCTTCCCTCTTCTGAGCTTCTAGAATGCCAATATGTACCAGTATTATGGTGGTGTACCTTATAATTACATGTCTACCTGTTTTCATCCCCTTGGGGTTGAAGGACTACAGGGAATACTTTGTCTCTGTATTCCCAGCTCTGAGAACACAGAAGAGGGGCTCAGTAATGCTGAATTGAGTAGAAACCCAAAGCTCCTCACTGTGCAGCTTGATAGAGATACAGAAGGAGGCGGTCATGATGGTGATGGTGTTGGGGGGCATGCTGAATTAAGGCCAACTCTTCATCTCGTTTCTTATCTTATGTTCAGACCCACCCCAAATCCCTTTCCCACCACAATATAACTTTTTATCCAACCTCAATTTTTTTTTAAGATTTATTTATTTATTTATACATGCACTGGGTACAGTCAGAAGCGTGGAAGGGTGAGAGAATTCACCAGAGCCAGAATGGGGAACAAAACAAGCAGATAGACTGAAATACACTGCTGAGGGGAGCAGTGGGCGGGGCAGGAGAGGTCTGCGCGCCATGTGGGACCCTCGCTGGTGGCCGGGGATCGAACCGGCGCTGCAGAGGCTACGGGCAGCTTTGCAGCCCAGCGCTCAACCGCTGTGCCACCAGGGGAGGCCCTCCAACCTCATTTTATCCTCAATGCTATCTCACCTCCCCTCACTTCATTTCTCTCCAATATCCATCCCAACAAACCTCACTTCCATCCCTATATCCCACCACTCTTTCACCTTCCAACCAGTTCTCATCTCCCAGTTAATAACAAGACTGTAGGAACATCTGAAGGTTATTATGTGCTATGCATTCTGCTATGTACTTTAAATTTGCTTGAAATAGATACTAATGAAACGAAACAAACACCTACCCTGTTGCAGATGAGAAACTGAGATGTAGGAAGTTAATGGACTCGCCCAAGGCTAATTATTCAGGAAAGTAAGAGGTGGACTTCTGCTGCAAGACCAGAACTCCAGTCCCATTCTCACCTCCAACTCCATCCTTGGCCTCTTCCTCAGTCTGCCCCCCACCCTGACTGCTAGGCAGCAGGTGCCCATCCAAGGTCCTGCTCTCACCCAGCATGCTGAGATGCAGAGCGGCAATAGCTGAGCCATGGTCATTCTTGAGTTAGAGCAGGACAAGGCCATTGTCCTCACGCACACAGTTTGAAGTGGTGAGAGTGCCTGGTTTTCCCCTCGTTCTATGGACACGCGCTTCTCCTCTGTTGCCTCCATGCTGTCCTTGTACCGTGTCACTTTGGGCAGCGGCTTTGCCAGGAAAGGCACCTTGATGCTTGCTGTGTGGCCCACCTCACCATCACTGGATGCGCAGCTAGTGCCTTGAGTATGGAAGGATCAATAGCGGGAGGATCTGCAGGGAAGGCACCAGGGAAGGCGGTCCTTCCCAGATGGGAGAGGAGAGGGTGGGGATGGTTGGGGGGAGGGAGGAGCCTACAGGAATGGGCCTGAGCTGGGAGCATGTGAGCGGGCCAGGTCAGCTTTTTCTGTAGTGGGCAGGACCTTACCTGCAATGAATACCGATGCTTTACTCTCTGTGTCCTTGGCCCGGAAATTGTCTTGCCCTTGTGCATGGGGCCCATTTTGGGAAAGATGAGCTTGTGCACCACACCCTACTTCACGATTTGCACCACGGGAAAGTCTGTGATCTGGGGGATGGATGTGAATTCGAGTGTACCAGGTTGACCCCCCCTTCCTTTGTTCCCTTCCCAGCCCCGCCTCAGACCTCCTTACTGTCCTTCAGCCACAGGCCTCCACCTTCTTGTCATTCAGCACCATGCAGAACTCCGCTGGGTTCCTGGTGGCTGCGTGTACATCAGACATCCTGCTCTTCACAGTGGCCAGACGCTCTGGGTTAAAGGGGGTTGGGCTGGATCAGGGTGTCACCTGGGTTAAAATAGGGGGTTGGGCTGGATCAGGGTGTTACCATGACACCTTTGCCCTCAAGGGAAAAGGGCTGCTGGTGATGGCCTTGGGGAGAGGCAGGGCCCCACTGTATAGATCAAAATAATTTATGCAGGGGGGTTGGACAGGGTCAATGAGCCATAGGGGGAGTGCTGGTGGTAGGGGGAGGAGAGCCAGTAGGTTAGGGGCTGGTGAAGAGTCAGTTGTATTGGGAAATGGTGGCCAGGAAGACTGGGAGGTGGTTAATGGGGCCTGATCATTGAAGGGTAGTCAGTGGGATTTAGAATACTCAGCTGAGGAAGGAACAGATGGTGGGCATGCAGTTGGTTAGTGGATGCTGGTCTGTGTTACTGTGATATGCCCAGAGTTAAGAGGAACTGAGGGTGGTCAGGGTTAGTGGAGAGTTGTGAGAGTTAGTGAATTGGGCTGGGTCAGAATCAAGGATCACTGTCACTATCACAGGGTTTCTGCAGGGGTGAAATCAAGGGATTTCTGATAGCATTCCAGAGAAGGGGGATGATTTAGGTCCAGGAAATAGGGATGTTAGGGCCTGGGAAATCATAGATGGTTAGAACTGGGGAGAAGGGGTGGTCAGAGTGGGGAGGTAGAAGTGGATCATGGTCTGAGCGAAGGTTGCAGTGAATAAGGGGAAGGTTGGTGATGGACTATTAGGGAGAGGGGGTGTGGTCAGAGGGGATTGATGGGGTGGGGCTGTACCTTCCACAGTGACCATGGCAGTACTGTAGTGTTCAGCGGGGTCCCCATCCTTCATGGCCACCACGGTGTGCTCGTCACTGTCACTTAGCTGAGCATCCTCAATGATGAGCTCTGCTCGCTTGCCCTTGTGGCTCATGCTATACTTGTTGCCACGTTCTAGCAGCCTCCCGCCCTTTCCAGCGCAGGGTCACATCCTTGGATGTCATCACACTCCAGGCATGCACACTCCTCTCTTTCACACAAGATTGCTCACAAACTTGATGGGGATGCCTGTGGACAGAGAGAGAAACCAGGTGAAGGTGCCTGCATTGTGCATGTTCATGTTGGTAAAAATCAGCATGTACTTGGTGCCAACTGCTTCACATTATACTTGCCCAGGGGTTACTGGATCCTCAGTGGCTCACCACCCTGCCTCGTGGAAAAGGTAGGAAAATTGACGAAGGAGTTTAGGAAGGAACCTTCAGAGGCCCCAATTCTCCAAGGCCATCCTGAGCTGGACAATGCCATGTCTACTTCTCTAGATCCCTCAAACACATCCAGAGGTCCCTAACATCTCTCTAGCCTCATTATGTGGCTCAGTGGAATCCAGGGTCTCTGTTCTGTCCCAACCTCCACCCCCATGGATTGAACTCTTAATATATGTGAGTTTATTATATGCTTTCTCTTAGAGGCACAGATCTTCAATGCCCTTCAGGACTACCAAATGCAGTCTTTTCCATTTAAAGATGGGTAGACTGAGACATAGTGAGAGGAAAATAACTGTGAACCCAAACAGTTAAGTGGCAGAATAGTTAAGAATAGAGTCTAGTTTCTAGCCAGTTTCAACATACTGGGAGGCATCCCTTTGATAAGGTCAAAGAGAGGCCGTGACTGATGGATAATGGACAGTCTATAAAGTGGGGGGGGGTGTGTGAGGAGGAGAATTGATATTGCCAGGGTGGGTGCCCTCCATCACCTTGATCCATATCATCTTGATATTGGGGTCCTTCAGCTCCATGAATCAGTCAGAGGTCACTGTGGTGTCAATCTTGGTCTCTATGTCTTCCAGGGGCTTTAGAATCTGGATGGCCTGAGAGACTGTGATAACAAAAGGCAGGTGTCAGAGTCATCTGGAGCCTGCCCAGTCTTGTCCCCAATTCTGGAGGAGCCCCAACAGGTTGGGGAGAAATAAGTAGGTTGATTAGATAGCTGAGCTCCCCTGCTCCACACACAACACTGATATGGAAGATTTAGAGGGTGACAGATATGAGGGGGGATTAGAAAGAAATCACCACTTGAGGGACAGTCACTGTGGACCTGGGCCCATTATATATGTTCTCGAATTTCAGTATAGATGCTTACCAATGACAAGCAGGTCAAGTGAATGAATGAATGACAGTACTAATGTAAAACAAATGAAAGAGGAAAGCATAATTTTCATTTTGCAGATGAGGAAATTGAGGTTCGGTGTGACACCCAAGTTCACACAGCTAATAAAGCCATAGAGTTGAGATGTGAACCCAGGTCTGTCTGACTCCAAAGTCCATGAGGGATCGGTAAAGAGAAGAGAGATAAAAGGAAGGTTACCTGGGGTCCGGTCCCTTTCCTGCTCCTGTAGTAGAAAGGGTGCCTTTGAGTATGCGTGTGCAGGGAGACCTAGCTGCAGGGACACACACGCACTAGAACTTCTGATGAGGCCCAGCCTGGCCTGCACACCCCTGCCCCTTGATGGGCACGCACATCCACTTTCTTCTTCATCTCTTTGAGACTTTTGAGTAGCCCTTGGAAGTCAGTGAAACCATATTCCATGCAGACCTTCTCGAAGTCCTTCTTGGGCACCTTGGACAGAATTTCCAGCATCTCTTTGTCATCTGTCACCTTTTGCTGCTGCTTCTTGAGAGCAGGGGGAGCCCTGGGAGGAAGAGGGTACCAAGCCTGCACTTACAGCTTCCTTCTGCAGACAGGAGGAGCCTTTCTTAGCTCTGAGATGCCCTTCCCCACTTCATGGATAGTTGGAGCCTTGGCTATCAACTCAAGGCCCTGCTGAAGGGCTTTTGGGAACCTCTAACCTGGGTGGTGAAGGGAGAAACCCCATGGGCAGAGGAGACCCACAGCCTCACCTCTTCTTCAGCATCCTTTTGAAATCCATCTTATCTTGATCTGAGGACAGAGAGAGGGATCCATGCAGCACTTGCCTTGTGTCAGGAACTGTGCTAAGGACATTTCAGAGATTATTGTACCAGATTTTCACTACATCCCAATGAAGCAATTGCTTTTCTAATCCCCACCATTCAGAAGGACTGAGATGAGAAAAATGTGTTAGGAAGCCCTGTCCCGGCTTTTCGATAGTGACTAGAGGTCCCAACTAGAACTGTGCAGACTGCACAGGCCGGCAGATGTTTTATTTGACTTCTACAATGTTTAAACAAAAAGCAGTCCTGCATCTAACAGTTGAGAGTGATCACATGAAAATTCAGATTTTTGTATCCCAACATTGCACTGATATTCCCATATAACAGCTGTCATTGGGGGGATGAGGGGAGCAGCCACCCCTTTAGATAGAGCATGCCGTCTCCAGTTCAGCTCACTCTTTCTCCTGCATTTATGTTCCCTGCCTGGACCCTGTTGGCCAGTGGTTCTCAGTGCTGGCTGCACATTAGAATCCCTGGAGAGCAGTCAAAACAATAACCCAGCAACACCTGATTTACCAGTCTGGGGTGAGACTCAGGCATCACTGTTTTTCACTCCCCTCCTGTCCCTTCCCTCCCTCCCCACCCACACATAATAAGAAGATTCCAATGTGTTGCAGGGCTGAAAATTACCACTATCATCACTTGAGTTTGCAACTTCTGGTTTTGAGCCCCAGGTGTTACACTTCCTCTGCTTTACTGAGTAGGAGGGATTGGGACAGAGTGTTTATCTGACCCTGACCTCTGTACAGAGGGAGGAACAATGATGGGAGGACTGGTATTCAACATCCTGGTCCCTGGCCATCTTTTAATCACTGTCCCCTAGAGACATGACCAAAACAATCTGCTCTGCTCTGAGACCATTTCTCAGCTTTCCCTAGGATCTGCCCTCCCTCCAAGTCTGCTCCCCAAGGACCCAAAACCCTGAAGCTTAGGTCACTTGTTTACATCTTCATCCTCTCTCCCGCCACGGGCAGCTCATAGTCTCCCATTTCTTAAATGGAGCAAGGTCAGCATTACTCACATGTAGGTAAGATCACGACCTCCCTAACTTCCAGGGGCCTGAATGGAGGAAGATATGTTCATTTGCCCATGACTGATCTCCTGAAGCAACCAAGAGTTCATCAGTACTCACACAGGTTCATGTGATTGATTTTTCCTAAGAAGTTTTCCTGGAGATGTGATCTGTGGGTGAACGAACATCTTGCCGGCTGAAGCTTTATCAAAGCACAGATTAGAGGCAGAGCTTAGGGGAGGGCTGATGTTACTTGGGCTCCTGAAGGGCCCAGTAGAGCAAAGACTGAGGCCAAGCAAGTGGTAGCTGCAGAGGGAGAGAGGCTGCCCCTTCCTGATAATCTCCCTCCCCTTCCCCCCTCCCACCCTGCTCTCCCACTCTACTTGCCTCCCACGATCTTGGTTGTCTCGGAGAAGGTCTGCACATGGGTGGCGGAGCTGGAAAACTCCATGGACATGTGCTCCTACAACATCTGCTTGTGGTGAATGGTCGTCATGGTAACAGCAGGCGTGGGCTCTCACCTGGGAGGATCTGGGCAACAAAGAGGCCATGAAGAACGGAGAAGGGAGTAGAGGGGGGGTTCAGTGTGTTCATGTGTGTGTGAGAGGGAGGGGCGGGACGAGGCAGGTGCACCCCAGGGAAGATGGTTGTGCACAGGAGAACCAGAGGCACAGGGGTGAGTTACCTTGCCTCTTCTCTCTGGCCTCCCTTTTCTTCCCTTCCTATCTCCCTTTCCCTGAACAGTTACCGGGACCAATGAGCCTGTCCCCCACTAAGAAACCCCAAACCATTCTGTTACTGGATTCTGGGTTCTTGAGTTCCCTGAGAAATAGAAATAATGGAGATTCCAGTCCTGCAGGTACCAAACAAGATTCTATTAAAGTTCATGCAATTCAGCATAAGGAAGCCAGCATCAGGGACTGGGCCTACAGGCTGCTCCCTGCGAAACAGGTGGAGGCTCTATTTAAGCAGTTTTAACCTAGCATAATTAAAGGAGAGAGTCCTTTTTCTGTTCTTCTTTCCATGAGATTATTCCATTTCATGATCTTCTTGTGCCTGTGACCTCTTCATGATGGAATCCATATCATTAGTCTAGAGGGTTGTTCGCCTAGAAGGTTTGTTGGTAAAATTTTTATTTCTTTTAAAGTGTGTCTTGGGGCAGCATCCTTCTCAGAGACAGGCACAGTCACTATCAGAGAAAGGGTAGGTAGCCTTGCCCGAGTCTCCAGTGGAGAAATTTGGTTTTGTCATTAATTCAAAAGGGCACCTGCACCCCTATGTTTACAGCAGAACTATTTACAATAGCTAAGCTATGGATGCAACCCAAATGCCCAAAAATAGATGACTTGATCAAGAAGATGTCTGCTTGATAATGACTTGATTGGTCTCAGCCTGAGTTAATGTCCTGGAATTTCCTGAGACTGACAGGATCCTATTTACTGTCTAACACAATTTCAAGTTCTTGGAGGGGGTAGATGTGGGGCTTAGAGTTACCCAGAGAAGCAAGGAGGGCCCTGAGGGAGTTGCTGGTACCTACTGATAGCTACTCGGGGCTAGGAAGGCAGTGCCGCCTGTTGCAGCAGGAGGGAATAAAGTCAGACCTAAGAAGGAACTTTCTGACTAAGCCATACTGCGGCAGACCTTAGAAGGAAGCCATGGGCCTTCTTCCTGGGCTCCGGAGACCCTGGCATGGGTGGAATGCCAAGACAGATGACAGCACGTGGCTATAGCCCTGATTTTGTTTGTGACATGGTAAAGACAGAGGTTGAGTTTTTATTTCTTATATTTTTCTTTTCTTTTCTTTTTTTTTTTTTGGAGTCAGTAACTCAAGCACACCATTAAAAAAAAAAAAAGTAAAAATCTCTGAAGAGAGACTTCTGTTCCTGAACCCCTCCCTCTGTCTCCCAGAAGGAAACCAGTTGCTGTCTCTCAGTTCTTTCTGGAACTCCTTCATGCAAATAAAAATCTGGTTTTGTCATTAATTCAAAAGGGCACCTGCACCCCTACGTTTATAGCAACACTATTTACAATAGCTAAGCTATGTAAACAACCCAAATGCCCAAAAATAGATGACTGGATCAAGAAGATGTGGTACATATACACAATGGAATATTACTCAGCAATCAAAAAGATAAACTCATGCAATTTGCAGCAACATGGATGGAGCTGGAAGGGATCATGCTCAGCGAAATAAGCCAGAAAGAAAAAGAAAAACACTGAATGGTCTCACTCATGCAGGAATTTAGAAAACCTAAATAAGGGACAAGGAAAAAACCTAACTATAATAAAGTAAAAATCAAAATCAACAAACAGCTATAAACCAGAAACACACAGTAGGGGGGGAGTAGGGGGGAGGAGGGAGTAGGGTCAAAACAAGGGGGGCGGGTGGGAATTGTATGGGGACTATAACCAAGATGAAAATGCATACATTATGCAAAAATGAAAAATAATGTAAAAAATGTATAAAAGAAAAAAAAAAAAACGTTTGTTAAAAAAATCTGGTTTTGTGCTCACCTCCTTTTTACATGTGAGGCAACCTAAGGCACACTATTCGGTCTTCCTTTGTTTTTCACTGAATACATGTTGAAAATCTTTCCCTATCAATTCATAAAGAGTTTGAACTTTTTGGCTACCAGCTACACAGTATTTCTTTCTTTTTTTTTTTAAATAATAAATTTTATTTTTATATTCCCCATACAATTGCTACCCCCCAATTCTGACCCCAATCCCTCCCCTCCCGCCCCCCACCCGCCAAAAAGTGTCTCTGGTTCATAGTTTTTTGTTGATTTTGATTTTCACTTTCTTAGAGTTATTCATTTTCTTGGTCCCTTATTTAAGTTTTCTAGATTCCTGCTATGAGTGAGACCATCCGGTATTTTTCTTTTTCTTTCTGGCTTATTTCGCTGAGCATGATCCCTTCCAGTGCCATCCATGTTGCTGCAAATTGCATGTGTTTATCTTTTTTGAATGCTGAGTAATATTCCATGGTATATATGTACCACATCTTCTTGATCCAGTCATCTATTTTTGGGCATTTGGGTTGTTTCCAAAGCTTAGCTATTGTAAACAGTGCTGCTATAAACATAGGGGTGCAGGTGCTCTTTGGAATTGATGTTTCTGTGTCCCTTGGGTAAATACCTAGGAGTGGAATTGATGGATCATATGAAAGCTCTATGTTTAGTAGGTCCAGAAATCTCCACACAGCTCTCCATAGTGGTTGGACCAGTTTGCACTCCCACCAACAGTGCAGGAGAGTTCCTTTTTCTCCACAATCTCGCCAACATTTGTTGTTGCTAGTTTTTTTAATATGTGCCATTCTCACTGGTGTGAGATGGTATCTCATGGTAGTTTTGATTTGCATTTCCCTGATGACAAGTGATGTTGAACATTTTTTCATATGCCTGTTGGCTATTTGCATTTCCTCTTCAGAGAAGTTTCTTTTTAGCTCTTCTGCCCATTTTTTGACTGGATTATTTTCTTTGTTGTTGTTGAGTCTCATCAGCTCTTTGCAGATTTTTGTGATCAGTCCTTTCCAGCTACACAGTATTTCAACGAATGGAAGTACCTGCCACTTCATATAACTAGCATGGCAGTTTGTGAACAAATTTGTATATGAGGAAACTGATGTCTGAGAGAAATAACCTGTCCAAGGTCACTCAGACTAGAATCCTGGGTTCATAATACCCAGGCCTGTACCCTTCAGGACACCCAAAAGCCTTGTTCTGATGCAGGTGATTTGAGACCAAATTATTTCCCCTCATAGTTGCCTGGCCTGCTTTTACCTCTGGGTTCTGAGACCACCCTTTACCCCAGTTCCTGCTCACCCCCTCTGGGTTCAGAAGATAGTAGACCCTGCGCCCTTTCTGAGGGGGGAGGGGAGCCTTACCTTGGGTGGTCAGTCCCTGGTAACCCTTGAACACTGTGTCTAGAGTTTTGGAGGAGCAGCTAGTGCCTGGACTGCAGACTGGACAGTCTCCTTCCTTTGCTTCAGCAGTGGGGCCATGAGGAGTCACTGGTTCCTTAAATGTCTGGTCCCTGGGGGCTATCCCTTCTTCAGGCTCACAGCTGCCCAGCTAGATGGCACCCTGCCTTAGGGGGAGGGGAGCTGGGGGAAGGAGGAAGCGAGATTGGAGCCAGGGTTGGGGGAAATGCAAACAATGTGGTGGGTAGGAGGCTGATGGTGGTGGTCCAGAGGTATTTCCCTGCTCTCTTGAGGCAGAAGTTTTGGTCTCACTGCTGGGTAGGAGCTCTCTGAGCTGAGGGGCTCAGGGTAGTGTGTGTGTGTGTGTGTGTGTGTGTGTGTGCGTACACGCGCCCACGTGCATGCATGTGCACATGTGCATGTATACACACGCTCACATACATATGCACACACCATGCAACAAGGCTTAGGGAACAAAGCAACAGGTCTGTTTTCCAAGGATTGAAGAGGGTAGGCTGGGAAGGTCACTGCACACACCCGGGGGGGCACCACTCATGTCTCAGGTGAGCTGAAAGTGTCTAGTGGATCTGCCATCTCATGTAAACCTGGGGGCACATTCATGTCCCCTCTGTGTGTGGTGCCTGCACAGCCTGAGTGGCCTCGCAGGGCCACCCTGGGGGAGCAGAGGGAAATGTTAGCTCTCCTTCCCCTCCCCATGCCCATAGCCCAATCCCCCTAATCTGGGTAGGAAGACCATCCTCCTGAGGAGCCTGAGAGTGTGGCCCCCCTTTCCTGGGACCTCCATCCTGCCACACAAGCCATGCTCTATGCTTTCTTTACTGTCTACAGCACGTCTGCAGGCCAGGACCCTCGACAGCTCACCAAAGTTCTGGTACCAACCTGCTGCTTGATCAGCAGCCCTTCCCTGGACCCCCTCCTGCCCTGGGGTGACCTCGCTTTCCAGCAGTGGCATCAGAGCTACTTTTGCTACATCCCTGAGGGCAGCGGTAAGAATAGAGCCAGAGTGTCGGGGATGGCTCGGAATCTGAGGCTATGGGCAGAGTCCCCAGTCCCCTTGGGAGGGACTACTCTCAGCCCAGGCCTTACAAGGGAAATTGCTGGGTTACAGCTGCCGTTGGGACGTGGGTTGGCTGACAGGGAGGGGCCTGAGTGTGGCCTGAATGTCCCCTTGTCCCAGGCTTGGTCTCTCTGACCCATCTGTGGGAATAGGTGACCTGCCAGCATTCTGCCTTCTCTGGAAGCCTCTCATACCTGTCTTTGGGGGTCCTGACTGGACTGGTGTGAAAGTGCGTGAGAATCCTGCCAAATGGACTTATTTTAATTTTTCAAATCTGGATTCATGCCATACCGACAATTGCCAATAGGGGGCGGTAGGGACCTTGAAGTGTGTGTGTGCTTGTGTGTATATGTGTGTGTGTGTGTATACACACGTGTGTAAAGGGAGGAGGGAGCGCAGGGGAGAGGCAAATCACACAGACTCAGGAGGCTTAGTTTTGCTCAAAATGCTCTGTTTATTGCTCTATTCAATGACCACGAGCAAATTATAAAAAGACACCCAATGTCTGTCTGCCGTGGAGTAAATATTTAAAGTCAGCAATAAAAACACGTGGCTCCAAAATTACACATGTTGCCAGAGTCATGCACGCCCTGCTCGTGGGCTTTCAACACACGCATGGACACAGGAACACGCAGAGCTACACGCAGCAGGACTTCGGGACTTTTTTCCCACGGTGACGGATAAATGTTTCACACAGATCTGGGCCGAGTCCCTACCCCTCCCAGAGGCCCTCTCTCCCGCTCCCACAAGGGCCCAGGTCCTCTGGCTTCATCGCCCCATCTACCCCCTTCCTCCCCAGTGCCTCCCAGGCTGGCCCCTGCCTCCTGAGGGCCTCTGTACCCACAGGCCACCCCAGCTGTGATGCTCCAGTCATGCTTCTCCCACCCCCCACCCAGAAACACTCCCCCAGCTGAGTTCTCTCTGCCAACCCTTCAGGAGCTCCCCATGCTTGACCCTGGGTGCTCAGGCCCATCTCCCACCCTGGCTTGGATAACTGGGGGGAAATGCATCTGCCTGCTGGGAGAAGCAGGGTGAGGGCCGAGGCCAGCACCTCTGCCTGGAGGACTTAGGGGCTGGAGTTCATTACCCCTTTCCTGGGCTGAGGAGACACAGTGTCCGGTACAGACAGCAGAGATGGGTGGACAGACAGACAGAACACGCTGCAGCAGGACACTTGGGGTGCGGCACAGAAATGTTTGGATCAAGTAGCAACGGAACCATCATTAAAAACTGAGGCCTCAGGACTGCGTGATGTGGGTCAGGCCCCGGGGCCCCAGGCCTGGCCTGGCCCATCCTCCCCCCACCCTGCCCCACTCCCTAATATATACAGTAGGAAGAGCTATGTTGGGGGGCGGGGGAAGAGGCCAGGCCTAGGCTGACAGAGGAGGGAGGGAGCCGGCTGAAGAGAAGGAAGCAGGTGGGGTGGGGACAGGGTGCAGGCCGGGATGGAGCCAGGGCCAGGAATGGTGGCCCCAACTCCTGGGTGTGGTGGCCCAGCTGGGGGGTTCCCCAGAGGACCTGGTGGTGGGACCACGGTCACTCCGGGGACTGGCGGGACAGCTGCTTCTCGTAGAGGCTCATAACATGGTGCACAAACTGATACTGCTCGCAGGTCTGGATCATGCCACCCCTGCCGGCAGAGGTGCACAGTTGGGATGGGGCCCAGCCCTCGGAGCACTGATTACCAGTCATTTGTGAGGCAGACTAGCGGCCTGTCTTTGTGCAGCTTGGGACAGGCAGTCCTTGCCAGCCACCCCTTCTGCCTCTTCTTGTCCCTCCCAGCTCTGGCAGAGACAGCAGGGACATATGTCCAGCTGCTCTCAGTCCTGTCCTTTGTCCACCAGCTCTATTTCTCTTCCCTCTTCATCAGTCACCATCCAGATCTGGAGCCCCCACCATCTTACTCCCTGTCCAACAGGCTCCCCATGTGCCCGCCCCCACCTGTGGGCTGACCTGTCCTGGCGGAGCTGGCACGTTGTCTTCAGGATGTCCACGATGCCCTCATGCTGCAGCTGCTGGCAGCAGATGCTGGTGGCAATGAAGCAGCCTGTCCTCCCGATCCCTGCACTGAGGGCCGATAGGAAGGGCGGGTGAGGGTATGGGCAGCCCAGGGCATGGGGAGGCTGCCTGACCCCTGCTGGTGGCTGGGAGGACGCACCTGCAGTGGACGATGATGGGGGCACAGCGGGGCCCCTCCTGCTGCGCTGCCTCCTCCACCTCCCGCACCAGATGCAGGAGTGGGGGGGCCCGGTCTGGGGTCTTCTGATCCGGCCAGGATGTGAACCAGTAATGCTTCAGGCCTCGCTCTTCGGTCCCGCTCTGTCCAGGAGACAGAGCCCCACCCCAGATACACGTGAACTCTGAGCCCACAGACCAGCCCAGAGACAGATGGGATGGGACGAGGAAGGCACGGAATGGCATGTCTGGCCTCTGTCCTCTATACCATATTGCCCAGAGGGGCCAGACAGACACCCCAAGCCAACTTGCACGGCATTGGTCTTCACGAGGTCTGCACCAGCAACTCCAGGATCATCCAAGATTGGCTGAGTCCTTTCTGCAATTCAATTCTGTCTCCCGGGGTCCTTATCTAAGCAAACTCTCCAGTCTGCCCTTAGTCACAGAAACGGAGTCCCTGGGACCTCTTGCCTCATTATGCTTGATCAGCCCACCAGGAGTATCTCTGGCTTTCTCGCCTCTCCAAGGCCCCTTCTCCAACTCCATTTTGGCCTTCAGGTCTGGACAGCGTGAGACCTCTCTCCTCCACCCCACCATTCCACAATTGACAACACAAATCGGAACATGCTGCTCTCTAGCTCAGAACCCTTCCATGGCTTTTGTTGCTCTCCAGATGAAACCCACTCTCTTTCAGCCAGGCAAGTGAAAAAGGCAGCACTAGGGCTACTCCACCAGGCCCATCTCCTGCCCCTGCATACCTGCATGTGATGCTCCCACACATGGTTTACAGTCTCTCTCTCTCTCTCTCTCTCTCTCTCTCACACACACACACACACACACCACACACACACACACACACCCTACCTTACTTTTTCTTTTTTCCTCTGGCTGTAATGTCCAACTCTTATTCACTCTTCAAAACCCCAATCAGCATCACCACTTCAAGGAGACCCTCCACGGGCAGCCTGACAGGCAGTGTCCTTCTGTGTTTTAAACTAACTTGGTACTTACTACGGGTGCTCCTTGAGGAGAGCGTTCAGGCTTTGGATAGCTCTGTATTCCCAGTACCCACCCCAGAACCAGGGCCCAGGGCAAGTGCTTGTAAAGGTTTATGGATAGAAATACCCCTAAATCCCAAGCTGTCCTGATTCTTCCTTAACCACTCCTGTGGTGCAGAGATGAGGCAGGTCCATGTCAACCCAGCCTCTCTTTTTGGGGAAACTGGAAGATGGTCCTTTGGGTCCCAGGATTACCAGACTGTGAGAGCTACTACAGTCTCTATGGCTCCCCTCACCCCCACCTGCTGAACCTTTCTGCCTTCTAGCAAGGCCTGTATCTTGGAGCTGCTCAGGTGGGCACTGCTCTCTGGGGGCTGCCTGCTCCTTGACACCCCATCTTGCACCCTCTCCCATGGGAGTGAGGCAACTCAGGACACATTCCAGGCCTTGAGCTGGTCGCTGTTGTTACAGCTTCAGTGGGCTTCTGGGTATTTCTGAACAGGGTGTCAGCTTCCTGGTGCCTGGCTCAGGGATTTCAGCTTTCGCGGTTATTACATGAGCTCCACCTTTCCCAAACATGGGTTTTATTCTCAAAAACACAACCCACAAATCCTTCTGGTTCCAAAGGAACAGTCTCCTCTATTATGCATATCCTGGAAGAAGAACAACTTCAGGGTAGGAAGATGCCCCCACTCTTCTGGGCTGTTTTGTATTGCTCATATTTTCTACATCTTCCTTTTCTCCCCCCCCCCCCCCACCGTTTTCTGTAACCACAACCGCCTTGTGCAATCCAAACCCAGTGAGGAGTGCCTGCTCTCTGGTGGACAGATTGAGCACTACAGGCTGTTTCTAGCGGAGATCCCAAAAGTCACAATGGACCTTCACGTATAAGGACAAGGCTGGAGCTTGCTGAAACTCCGTGTCCAGAGAGTCCTGGATTTGGGTGCATTTGAAGCAGATCTGGAAGGCATTATGAATGACAGTGTGGACAGAGAGAGAACCCAACATGAAATAAAACTGAGGTTTGTTCCAGCTGATGGCCCCAAGTCCGTTCACTTGTTCCTATATCCCTGCTTATCACTAAATCCTGGAAATAACATAGGCCTTGATTTCAGCTATAGGGAACTCTGGGAACCCATTATCTCTAAAGTCCCCAATAAAGCTGCTCATCCTCCCAGCCCCACCGTGCCCCAGGTCTCACCCTGAGGGAGATGAGTCGCAGCCGGTAATCCTCAGTGTGGATGACTTTCTGCACAGTGATCTCCACGTCATCGTACACCACGTGCTCCTCCGGCCAGTACTCGGTGCATTTCTGTATGGACCCAGATCAGGCTGTGACCTACTCCCCATTCCCCAACCTTGATCTCTCCAACACCCCGCCAAGGCCGGTGGGGAGAGATATAAAATGGCAACAGGTGCAGGGAATTCATGTTGGGTTCAAACTTCAGCTTCATAACCTGTAAGTTCTTTCCCTTTTTGGAACCTCAGTTTCCTAACCTAGAAATGAGAGTGATATCTATTTTGAAGGGCTTTTTATAGGGATTCAATTTAGTGGGCCATTATGGGTATGGAAGTAGCAGCACCAGCCCGGGCAGGCTGGGAGGCAGCACAGCATCCTGTTTGAGATCATGGGCACTAGAGGGGTCCCTGACTACCTGTGTGGCTCTGAGCGAGTGAGCTGAGCTCCCTGAGCCTCACTTTGGCAGTGGAGAGAACATTACCAGCCTCCCAAAGTTGCAGCAAGGATTAACATGAAAACAAGATGCTTAGTGGAGGGGCACAGAGCAGTAGACACTGGATACCAGTGCAGGGGGATGGGGGGTTGCGGGGGCCCTACCTCGTTCATCTCCTCGATGTTGGTGATCATGACAATGATGGGCGTGCGCTCCTGCCACACCATGCGCCAGAAGTCGCCGACTGTGCTGACGATGGGTCCCTGAGTGGCGATGTACACCTTCTCTTCCCCACCATAGCCCTGTAGCCAGCCAAGTCCAGGCCGTCAGGGTCACACCAGTGCTCCCACGGCCCCAAACCACACTCAGGTCTTCCTGGGGGGCCGCAGGAGCCATTCTGCTTAAGGACAAGCCCAGAGGATGGATCCCAGCAGTTGGGCCTCCCTTTCAGGGACAGTCGATGGGGCTACATACCCGGATGTAGTTGGCATTGATGTAGGAGCTCAGAGGGTCGTCAGGGTCTGGTGATGTCAGACACACTCTGCTGTGAGGGTCTGGGGTGGGGAGAGACAGGTGAGGCTGGGAGCTGTGGCCTCTGTGAAAGGCCCACTTCAGGGTACCCACATTTTTTTCTGGGACCCTTGAAATTGCCTCTTTCCTGGGTCCAGTAGAAAAACATGGACCAATCCCAGCAGCCCACGCTGGTGGTGAGGGCCTAGGTAAGAAGAGGGTAGAGAGAAAGGCCCTGGGTCTCTATCTCTGCAGGGCCAATGTCTGCCCCTTGCCTGTGTTCCTTCAGTCCCCATGGAAGCAAAGAGAGGAATTACCTACGGTGCATCCTGGATTGAAGGGGGACAAGAGTTTGGAGCCTGCACTCAGCGATGTGTGTGTAGGCTTGTAAAACACATGGCCTTTCTAATCCCCTAAGGCCTTTCTAAGTTTCCTGTTTTGGTAAGATAAAAGAGAAAACTGTTGTGAAAGTGCCCTGTAGAGTGTAAAGAACTTTACAAAAACAGGGCTGTTAAGATTTAGGGGTTGAGGATGAGGGAGAATGCTGGGATGAAGGGGGGAGAGACATCCATGTGTGACCTTGGAAACACAGACACGTGTGCATCACGTGTGCACCATTGCTTTTCCTGCAATGTATTTACATGTCAAATCCCATAGTAACAGATCTCGCAACATCTTGTTCTTCCTGGAGTAGAATCTGTTTTGTTCCAGCTGCTGCCTCCCTGCATTGCCTGCTCTGTCAGCTGGCAGAGGCTGGGCCTGAGACGAGAGGCTGGTGGGCCTGGAGCCCCTGTTCTGACCTAGCTTTGGGGCCAGCTCACTGTCTTGTCCCTGGGCCTCAGTTTCTCTCCTGCAGAAACTGAGAAATGGGCATTTCTAGCATGCACAGTGGGGGCCTCAGAGTCCCAGATCACCTGGGCAGCGCCTCCTCTGGCCAGATGCCAGGACCTTTGGTATTGAAGAACCTCCTTGGGGATTATGCTCAGTGAAATAAGTCAGAAGGAAAAAGAAAAATATCGGATGGTTTCACTTATAGGAGAAATACAGGGAAACTAAACAAAGGGTCAGAGAAAAAGACAAGACTTGCAGGCAAACTATAGATCTGAGGCATATAGCAGGGGAGTGGAGGGAGAGGGATCAAAACAGGGGAGGGAAGGGCACAAGGCACTGTGGTGATGGTTCACAGGTGATGTGGTGGTGAGAAAATTATGGGACTACACCTGAGGGGAGAAGTCAAATACTGTACAAAAATGAACAATTAAAAAAAAAAAAAGCTCCTTGGAATGGAAACGGTTCCACTGACCCTCTGCACCTGTCCCTGTGCGGGGAGTAGGGGCTCCTCGGTAAACAAGGTTCCTGCCCCTGAGTGCTGGGCAGGCAGGCTGTGTGACCTGTGGGCACAGGGGCTGGGCGAGGGAACAGAGAGACCTGTGACTTGGCTGGGGCAGGGGAGGTGGCAATGGCTGGTTTGAGGGACTGGCAGGAGAAGGGGCAAGAAACCCTCTTTTGTGGGGTTCAAGTGCCCAAGGGAAGGTGGGTCTGGTGAGAGATGAGGCTGGAGGGCCACAGGTTCACAGAGGATCTTAGAAGCCATATTCTCAGAGCTGGGCCTAACCCTGAGGGTCACAGTGTGATGTTAGTGTCTAAGGGAGGAAAGTGACACCACTCGACTCTGTGCGGTATCATTTTGGGGGCAGTGATAGAAGGCCGGGGGAGAGAACACAGAAGTCAGGACGTCAGATTGGAAGTGACTGCAGTGACCCCAGTAAGGAGGGCCACAGGCAGAGGGCCCCTGCCCCAGTGCCTGAGTGTTCAAACACGCCTCCAGGGCATCATGTCAGAGCAGCCTACATAAATGGTGGCCCCTGGAAATGAGCAACATGGAAGCCTTGACCCCGCCCCCCCCATCCTCCCAAATTGGATAGTGAGGATGGAGAGGGGGAAGCAAGATTTGAGAGGTATTTACCCACCCACACAGGTGCACAATGTCTCCTGCGTGCCAGGTCGAGTTTTGGTGGTGGAGACAGGGTGGTGGAAAGGACAGAAACTGCTCCCCTGCCTCTTGTCCTCTGTGCTGTCTGCTGGGCTGCCACTCACTGGCCATGAATATCCTCCCCCGGAGTGTGACTCTGTGTGGTCTGGGTCTCAGTCATGTCTGAATCCTCAGTCACTGGGGCAGGAGGGGCTCAGGAAATGTGCCGAAAGAACGAGAACAAGCCTCAGGGTGTCCTGGATCTGAGAGGGGGCAATCGCCAAGCCTGACCTGCCCTCCGCTCCCCTTGACCCTGAGGTCCATTCTTGCTGGACACAGTAGTCCTGTGTTGGGCTTGGGGAGGGAGGTGTGCTGGAGGCTCAGAGCCTGGTTGGAGGGGGCTCGAGGCCTCTGTGACACTAGGAGAGATTAGGTGAGCGACGACCCCGTCACCCGCCCTTCCCCAGTGGCCATTCTGAGTGACCCACAAAGCCTTAGGTTCTGGGGTACCCAGTCTTCCTCCATGCGGGGCTGGAGGAGGGCTGAGATGAGGGACGAGGTGAGCAGCCCTGAATAACGCATCTTGGCCTTAAATGGTGCTTTGTTTAACCGGAACTACCTTGAGACTGTGTAACCATAGCAACCACAAGTCGATATTTTAAAAGTTAAAAATAAGTCATGACATCTTACATGTTGTTGGAGACGCTGATGGCAAAACTGCTCTTTGAAAGCCTTGTTACTCCATAAACTGAGCAAAGTAGGTTTGTGGGAATTTACTTTCAACCAGTCACCCCCAAGCTAGCCCTCAGGGGCTGAGGCCAGAACTTGCCAGGGGTGATAGCAGACAGGGGCTTAATGAAATTAAAGTGACACCCCAGTGCTGAAAGAGGAATATTAATTAGGCCACCTGATCTAAGCCACCTCCATAGGGGCGAGACCCCTATCAGATATGCTCATGCCTCCTTGCCTGATCCCCCTCCCCCGAGTGATGGGGTGCTTACTACCTGTCACGCAGCTCATTCCCTGGTGACTCTGCCTGAGAGAAGACTCACAATCTGATCAAACTGAACTCAAGAGAGACAAAAAACCAAATTCTGGGGTCACAGAGCTCAGGGTTGGAGACTCAGTTCTGTACTTCCTGGCTGAGTGACTGTGGGCGAGCCATTTAACCTCTTTGGGCCTGAAATTCCTTTCTTTCATATCTGCCCACTCTCAAGAGATAAAGACATGAAGAAGCTTTTCCATCACAATTCCGTGCATTTGCCAGGAGCTGCTGTTGTTGTCCTCTCTCTCTCTCTCTCTCTCTCTCTCCCTCCCCTGGAGCTTCCAGAGCCCAGTGCAACACCTGGCCAGGCTGGCATCCCTGACCTGGGAGTGGCCTAGCTCTGCCCCCACTAGGGAGCTTCCCTGCACTGGGCACCCCCACCCCTTCTCCTTGTGATCCTGGAGCCCAGCTCTGGGTGAAAGTCTTCCTTGGGGTGAGGAGCCCTGGGGAGGGGAGTCTGCCTGCTCCCCGCCTCCCCCCCACCCCCAGCACTGAGTACTCACTGGGAAGGATGGTTTTGTATCGGTTCTTCCGCACCAGCCCAGGGATGTCATATTCTTTTGGATCCACAAAGTTCATGGGGATTTCCTGCAGGAGGGGGACAGCTGTGAGCTGGCCTTCATGAACATTCGAATCCAGGGACTGCTGTGTCCCCAACTTCTAGTGCAGGGGCTGGCTTGAGCGCATGCATTCATTCAACAGACACTATCAAGGAGTTAATGCACATAAAGAGCATTTGGGACAGTGCCTGGCACATGCTGAGTGCGTGATAAATATTATTTCTATTGTTTATACTGAGGGCTGGCCTGGCGTTGTAGCAGACACTCAATAAATGATGATGAGCAAAGAAGAATAAAGGAAAAGTGACCTGGCCAATCACTGCCTTTTTCACCCTACGCCTGCAACAGCCAGACTGGGTGGCTTTACTGACCAGAGTTCCAGCCCTGAGCATCCTCACTTCAGGACTTTGGTTTGTGCTGCCGGCTCATCCACCCCATCCTCATCTTCGTACATCCTATTCATCTAAGATGTCACCTCCTCTGAGAAGCCTTCCCTGATTCACCAGCAGGAAAGGAGGCCCCTCCTGAGCTCCCAGGGCGGCATCTGCATCTCCTGACTACTTTCAAGACAGAACCTCTCTGCTTGGCATATAAGGTCTTCTAGGCTGCCTTTCTTTACTGCCAGCTGTTCTTAAGACACCCGCCTTCGAACTGTGCTGGTCTCTTTGCTGTGGCTAGTTTGCTCCACCTGCCTCCAGGCCCGAACTCCTGGCATTCTGCTCACAGCACTGCTGGTCTCACCTTTCTTCAGCCGTCCAAATAGTTTCCACCCTTGAAGTTTCACCTCGAGAGGGCCCTCCTATACCCTCTGGGATGATTCCCCAGTACCTCTGGCCTCTTGGCTCCCCTTCTGTCTATCCATGCAGTCTGGCCTGACTACATACCTTTTCATAGTGTTCACACACTAAGTATGAGCTTTGTCAAACAGGGTCATAATAGTCGCCTTCGAGGGTTGTGAGAATCAGAATGAGGCATGTGCACAAGCGACACAGAGTGGGGTGCAGGCTAGTTCCTTTCTCTAGGATTGGGTACAATCCACAACAATCTATTGGATAGACAATGACATTGAGGACAAGGGGAGGTGATGGCCTTGGGAACTCAGAGGGAGCTGAGGGGGCTTTTTAGAGGTATCCAGTGTGTGTGTGTGTGGGGGGGGGTGGGGTGATGTGAGTAAAGGCACAGGAAGGGGGGAGCTGGCCCAGCTTGAAGTGGACACTCCTTGCAAGGAGTGGGAGCAGAAGGCTGGAAAAGGAGACAGGGCTTCACGACTTGGGGGGCAGGGGATGATTGCTCACACATGTCAAGTTCTGTAGAATTTGGTGCAGGGGATAGAGGATGCTGGAGGTGTTCTCAGAGGGGAGAGATGTCTAGTCCAGGTGGGGGCAGGGCAGCCTGGGGTGAGAGGAGTTGTGAGGGAGGCACACTCCCCAAATCCTCATGGCTTCTCGCCCATTCCTGCCCACAGAGGTGGGAGGGTAACCTGACAAGTGAATTTGATTGGGGAACCAACCACTCTTTCTTCCTCCTCTTGAGGTCCTCTTGTCAAGAAAGAATTAGAGGGGTGCCCCCACAGGAGGGCCTATGATGTGCCAGCACTGCCTGGGGTGGGTGGAAAGTTTGTTAATTTGGGGAACTGGTATTGGGAAGCTCACTGTCACTACATACCAAAGTCACACTTCAAATCTATCCTTTATCCACCAAAACAAAGGTGATTTGGGGATCTCCATGTCCTAACTCGGTACTAGTTGAGTGCTTAGGCATGTAGAATGGGGGTGCCATTTCTTAGGCCCCTTAAACACAGCTGTAGGCTGTTGCAGAAGTATAGGGAGGTGATCAGGACTCAAAGCTAGAGTCACAGGGGTAAAAAGGAGGTGACTGGAGAGATTGCAAAGAGGGACATATATGTGCATGGGATGTTGGGCAGGACGAGGGTGGGAAACAGCAGAATCAGCAAAGAAGGTTTTCCAAGCACAAGAAAGACTTGGAGATGCTGCGGTCCACCACTCACAGGGTGTGTGTGTGGGGGGGGTTCCTATCTATCTCTTTAATTCCTGGAACATCCCTATTATCCCCCCCCCCCCATTTTCCAAGTGAGGACATGGAAGCCCAGAGGGACAGCAGCTTGGTAATGAAATGATGGTAGTCTGTTAGGGCTGGGTTCTGGGCACCCTGCTCCACCACCCTGCAGGGAGGACGATCTGTGTGCAGAGAATGGTCCCCTCACCCTGGAGTTGTTGGCTCAGGGGGACTTACGAAGAATTCTGCCTGCAGCAGGAAGGGGTCCAGGGCCTTCTCGTGAAGCTCCTCAGCCTGGAGGACGCGGGAGGCGCTGAGCAGGTACTCGCGGGCCGACTCTTCCCGCGGGGACATGAGATAGCCGAAGCCCTCCTCGGTGCAGCCAGGGGTGCACATGTCCAAGGTCAGGGAGACATTGGAGCCCCTCCTGGAAGGGCCAGGAGAGTGGGGGGGGTTGAGTCTTGGGGCAAAGGGGGCATCAACTGGAGACCTTGGAGCAGGAAGATGAGGGAGGGTGAGCTCGGGGTGGGAATAAGGTGGGGTCTAGCAGGAGTCACCCCAGACTAGGAGAATGAGTCTTAGCCCCAGAACTGAGGGGTGTCTCCTACATCCTGCAGCAGAGTAGGTGAGTGGGGGCCTAGGGTCCCGGTTCCAAAGGTTGCATCCAGGGCAACCTCTGTGGTCCCCAGCGAGTTCCCAGTGTGAGGGCATCGACCTAGAACAAAGCAGAGGGGCTTGCCCTTGGTGTCCTGGTCCTCGGCCTGGCAGTCTGGATTGTGCCTGCCAAAGAGGGGTACAGGGGTGGCATAGTGGTGGCAAGGATGTCTATCCTGGACAGAATCTAGTGTTTGGCTTTAAAGGTGCAGAACCAGAAGGGGCCTTGGTATACAGAAAGAGAAACTGAGTCCCTTGGGCCCTGGGAGTCAGAGCAGGGACAAGAATTGTCCAGCATCCACGTAAGGAAGTGTCAGAGCTGATTCCTCCTGCAGCCTTCCTGCATGACATCAGGTGGGTAACTCAAACCTGGCATGCTCTGGCTTCCCCAGCTAGGCTCTGAAAAGAGGGTGCTACCCCTCCCAGAGTGCTCTGTACAGTACTAAGAGACACTACAAAAGTAGGGTTCTGTGGTGAAGTGATTTTGAGGGATGCCACCTACTGCCCCCTTGTTATTTACAATGAACACAAGCTGTTAAAGGCCCTGACAAGTCCTGCAGTAGCCACCAACCCAAATGGACTTGAGCTCAAATGTGAGCATGCACATGTGCACAGCAGTACTGCTCAGCATTCACCTTGGGGCCTTCTGGCACCGCATGTGTCTACACTGGCTAAGCTATGAGGCCAGCTCTGTCTTGGGCCCCGGGAGGCAGAGCCAGGCATCTGCCCTTCTGATGGCAGCTGAGAGCTCAAGGTCCCGCAGAGCCCGCCCCTCCTCTACCCTTCCCACCTCTCTTGCAGACCCATGGCTTTGACGGTCAGGGAGGTGGGGTCGGCCTCAGGCTTGATGTCCATCACGCAGTCAAACACAGGAGTCTCAGGGACGGGGTCCAGGTCCAGGAAGTCATCCTCGACCTTCTCCTCCATCCATTCTGAGTAGGTGAAGGAGGGCTGGCGGCTCACCGACTGGCGCCTGTCCTCAGGGGGCAGCGGAGTGGGTGGCTCCGGGGAAGCCCGCAGGAGGTGCCACACCTAGTTGGGGGCACACGGCATCACGGATCTGGAACCATGTTCCCTGGTGATGGGGGTGCCATGGGATTGGGTCCCCTGACCTTATTGTGTCTACAGCAGTCCCGTTTTCCTGGAACTGTCTGCTAGGCACAGCCCTACAGCCAGAGGGGAGGTGCCACCCCCGCCCTGTCCTCCCCCAACCCTCAGTTTCTTGTGGATTGAGGCCTTCTATGTGAGGCGTAGGGGTTCCTATACCAGTCTTCTCTCTTCCTCAGCCCCTTTCCCCTGCCTAGAACACTGCAGACTAGAAAAAGGGTGTCTCTCCCTCCAGGGAGGTCACACTGGTGGTGCAAGTTGCTGATCACCCATGCAGGCCCAATTCAGAAAGTCCAGCCTGCAGGTCAGATGGGAGCCTGTGAGGCCCAGGGCCTTGGGTAGAGGAGGAGAGCACTGAGGCTGGGTCAGGAGGTGCCTTACCAAGCTGGTAACGAGGACTACTGTCAGAGAGACCAGCAGCAGCTGGGAGACTTCCCAGGATCCCACGCCCAGCCAGGCCTGGGGACATCAGACAGACAGGTCAGGGCTTTGGTGGGGGCATGGTTCTCATCTGTTTCAACAGGGGTAAAACAGGTCTGGGGTGAGGAGCAGGCAGAGGAGCTTCAGGGGTATGGAAGTATCTACTGAATGCGAGAAGCCCCACCCAGGGGTTGGTGGGATGGGAAGCCCCCAGCCGCTCCCTCCTACCCTGGGGCTCCCTGGGGCTGACTTACCATGGGTCCCAGCTGTCTGGGGAGTGTAAGCAAGGAGGAGACGAGGTCTGTGGCATTCTGCGACCAGCTGGGGCCATAGCCGCTGAACCAGAGCACCCCGAAGGCAAGCTGGGGCAGCCAGGGGCAGGGACTGAGTTTGGAGTCTGGGCTCCTGGTTCCCATATTCCCCCTGTAGAGCTCACCTCCTACCTTGACCTGGTCCCCCAAGGTCAGAGTGCACAGCTGAGGGAAGGGCCCAGGTTCTGTGTGGCCAGACAAGGCCTCAGGACTCTCCCTGGAAAGAAGCTGACTGAAGGGAGCCAAGAGAAGGCCTTCCCAAAGGAGACCCCCATGTCCATACATAAAAAGGGAAGTCTCCTAGAAATGGCTTTACAGACAGGAACTTCTCAGAGAGACCCCTGCAGGGAGAGGGCGTTGGGGGACCCTGTGCTCTGTGCCTCATGTTAGGGAGGGCAGGGCATGAGAGGCTTAGCTATCCTTGCCCTCACACCAGTCTGAGGGGGTTAAGTCCCTGAGGGATGCCCAGGAGGACCCTCACACCTTTGTATCCCCTGGTGGCCATCTTGGGGAGGAAGTGGAGGGCTGTCCCTCAACCCACCCTCTCGCCAGGTCCTCGTGAGGCCCGTGATGTCCTTACCAGAAACTGAGAGGCAGCCAAGAGGCACAGGCTGCTCCTGACAGGGAGGGAGTGGCTCCTGGCGCCTTGAGGTGGTGGCTTCTGAGCTGGCTCTGAGGGCGGTGAAGGAGATGGGGGCAGTGGCATCTCTCTCTGAGAGTCCGCCTGCCCTTCAGCCTCATCCAGTGCCTCCATCACTACCGGCTGGGGGAGACCTGTGGAAGGCAGCACGAGGGCCGATGACGCGGGCCCTGCAGACCCACGGCCGCTGCTCCTTCTGGGGTTGCTGTGGCTTCCTCTCAATCCGGGACCAGTCAGCGTGGCTCCACTTCCAGCAGTCACCCTCGATTAGCAAAGCAATATTCACCTACCTTCGTCAGAAAGAGCTAAGTGTGGGTGGACAAATTATTTCTCTTTTATTTCTCCAGTAACAGAGTTAAAATGGCAGGAGGTTTTTCAGGGAGTTAACATCGTTGTGTTTACGCAGCTCCATTCTTTTCCATTTCTTAAGGAAACAAAAAATAACCACCTCAAACTCAATTAAAAGAGAGAGAGGGAAAAAAGGCATGGCATAACCAGGCCGTGACCCTGAGCAACCCACCCACGTCTGCCCCTCCAGATTTTTGTCTTTTGTACTCTGTATGCAGACAGGGGCTGGAGCCTGGACAAGATCAAAGCCACCTGCTTCCCCCCTACCTCAAGAGCCCACAGGAGCCACTCCCTCACTGGGCCTCAGTTTCCACACCTGGAAAATGGGAATTGGGCTCCACCCTTGGTTTTCTAACTGCTTTACAGAGCCCTAGCATTTTCTCAGGGGTAGCAGGTATTGCCAAGTGCTGGGTCCCTAAGCTTGCACCTCAACCTGGAAGCTCTTGGTTGTTCCCTTTCATATACTGGGTTTCCTTTAAGATTATTTCTTAAATAATTGATTCTATAATCCACAATCACAGGATTGTCTCCATTACAAAAAAGTGTCTGAACACCACCGTTTAGACCCGAGTGCGGTCTTGGAGGTTGAGGAGTCTAGCAGCAGCCACCTGGAGTTCCCCATCCAAACCTGCGGGGCTCAGTCCAGTGTCAAGAAAAAAGAAGGCAGCAATGTGGACATGCAGAGCCTGACAGTGGTGATGGGGCTGTGCATGCATCACTGTGGATACCGGACAACGGCCTCCTTTTCTGGGTGGGTGACATGGGAAAGAACACCCACAGTTAAGATCATGTTTGTCCACAGACTTGTCTACTTGCTGGCCATGCCCACATGACATTCCTGAGCATCTCCCATGGCCTGAGTCAACAGCGCTGCAGAGAGCCAGGTCTGGAGATAGCTGCACTTCTATGGCAGGCTCCTTCCCAGATGCTAACTGTGTTCTCCCTGCACCTCTCTCCCCTACCCCAGGTGCTCTGCACTTGCTATTCCCTCTGCTGGGAAGACCCCTCCAACACCCTGCTGTCCCCCTTGCCATTTTGCCAAGTTAACTCCTGTGCACCTTGCAGAACTCAATCAGAAGTCACCTGAAATAAGTTCTGCCTTGTTGCCTGGTATGAACCCCCTAACCTCTCCTTCATACCACCAGCAGCAACAGTACACCCGGAATATGCCAAGTCTGGTTTTGAGTGATTAACATATGTCAACTTATTCACTCTTCACAGTACCCCATGAAGTCGGCACTACTTGTTACTCTCATTTTACAGAAGAGGAAGGTGAGGTGCAGACAGATGAGGTGCCTACGTCAGCTAGCTAGTAAGTGACTGAGGTGGGTTTGAACCCACCTGGGTGCTTGGCTGGGCTCTGGGCTCCATTACACTTAGTAGGGTTTGTAAAATTCCTTGTTGAATATCATCCCTCTCCCATGAGGCCAGGAGCAGTATCAGTTTGGTTCTTTTCATCATAACTGTTCACGGCGTCTAGCACGCATGAGGTCTGCAATGAATATTTACTCAGCGAGTGAATGATGATGGGCAAGTGATAAACTTTTCCTCGTTTTCAGACAAATGGGGATAATCACACATACGTTGAAAAGCTGTGATTAAAGACTGTAGATACTACAGGTGAAATATCAGCATGGCGCCTGCATCTAGTAGGTGCTCAATAAATGCCAGATCATAATAATAACACATAACTGCCATCCTGATGGGGAAAACAGACCACGGATACCTGTTTACAAAACAGTGCAGCAAGTATAAAATCTAAGTGTGGCTGGAGTCTATGGGGGCGTGTGCCTTTGCCCACAGTACCAACCACAGGGGCAGAGCTCAGATCCCAGGCAGCGAGATAAGAAAGGAAAAGCTGCTGCTAAAGAGACAGACCATGTAGGAAGCTAAAAGCTTCCACTACCGAGAAGCAGAGGGCTGATTACTCAAGCGGCAAGGTCTCCACCTTCAACCTCAGCAAAAAGCAGTTCCTGGGTGACGCGCGGGCCTGGAGTCTGCTGGTGTGGCTCTGCACTACACAAGCAGTGGGCCTCAGTTTCCTTATCTGTAAAAAGAGGGCCTTGAACTAGAGCTCAGTGTTTTTCAGATGTTTCTGCCACCCTCATTGCAGAGGGGACATGGGTCCCTGGGAAATAACAGCAAGCTCACACCATCTTGGATCTTGCTTTACAATTCCTAGGTGTGCTGTGTCTATGTGAAGGTGTATCTGTACTTATTTTGATATTAAATAATGGCTTTTTTTCCTCCCTCCTAAAGCTTCAAATCAAATTTATGCTTCAGGAAAATATGCTACATTTATCCCATGTCTTTGCCTTCAGGGGTACACCCACCCCAATCTGGGAAGCATGGGACCTGCCTGCAATAGAACCACAGTGCTGCTGTTATGATTCTATAGATGAATATTTAATAACATGGAAAGAAATTTTGAATGTATGGCGTGAGAAAGGCAAGGTTACCAAACAATATGATCCCCTTGGCTTTAAAAACTAAGAAAGTGTAACTGTGCACATGAAACAGTGGGGAATACCTGATGTAGGATCAGAAGCTAACATGACATGGTAGTGTGAGTGTGCTGCATAGGGACTGCCAGGCACATAGTACGTGCTCAATAAATGCTTAGTACGTGGGAAGAATAGAATTCAGGTGACAACAACAGTTCTTCGGAAGAGGTGAGAGTGGAGGCAATTTTTTTCATTGTTTACCTATTCTGAATTTCCTCATTAAATGCATACATATGTATGTATGTACATCTGCATATGTACACACACATACATGTAATTGTGGTGAGAAAAGTATTAAAAATAGAGATCACTTTTTTGTGTTTATATACTGTAAGATTTCGTTAATATTCTCGGGTTGAAGGCCCAACTCCCACCTGGCACAGCTACCTGGCACATCAAAAGGGAATGTGCAGGGCTGGGAGAGAACAGCCACCCAGCCCCCTGAAGAGGTGAATCGTCATTTTGTCTGAAAGACGCAGGCTGACCCACTTGCACTTTCTGGAGGTGGAAGAAAAAGAGCAGGCTGGTAGGGCCCTCCTTGTAAGCACATCTGAGAGACAAAGGTGGAGGCTGTCTTTTTTTAATTCATGGGGCACCTGTCACAGGGCATGTGGGGGAGGGTTGGTTAGGCACAAAGATGCAATTGACAGGCATTCCAGGAGCGACTGGTAGCTCTCTGCCCTTCACAGATCTTCTGGGCAGAAACTTAACATCCTTTACTTCAAACATACATTATATTTCACATCTAATTTTGGAGGGGATCCATGGACTTCAGATTAAGAGGGCCTAATTTTTGGAGTAGGGAGGTCTGTGATAAACGTGAACTTGGAGGTGGGGACGATGGGGCACTGGGCTGATCTGGGTCTCTGCTCATTCATGTGTGAGTCTAGCCCACATTTATTGAGCCCCAGGGATGTGATGTGCCTGGTGCCGGGCTAGGTTCTATGGGGACAGCAGTGAACATTGCCTGCCTGTACAGCCCACCATGGTCCTGCGCCCCTTTGTCCTTTGGCTGCCACAGCCCCCTCCTAGAGCTGATGTCGGCTCCTTGCCCTGCCCACCCTTCTGCTCACTCTCTTGTTCTAGGGCTGACAATGCCACCTCACTGGGCATGCTCTGCAAGGGTCCTCTGGCACTTCTGCACGCGCTCCCCTTGGCAGCCCTATGAGGTAGGGATTGTCATCATCAGCCTGTTTTGCCGGTGAGAGGCAGCTGCTTGTGTCAAGGGCTAGTTTCTCAATCGTTCACAGCAAGGTAGCTGCTCTGCCACGCATGAAACCCTGACTCACAGCAGCTTGCTGACAGGGATTTCACATCGGGCTCCTCACCAGCTTGCTTCTGGCGCAGGGTGAAGGGGATTTTCCAGGCCAGGAAATCCAAGCTGAGCCAGGTTAAGTGGCTTGCCCAAGTAAATGCAGAACTGAGATTTGAAGCCAGTCTTTGAGATTCCTAAAAGCCCTCTCCATTTTGCGTATTGTTTCTCAGGAAAGGGTCACTGTAGCAATGGCAGGGAGATGGGGAGAGATGGGAAGAACTTGGGAAGGAGGAAGGAAGGGAGCAGTCCCTGTGTGTAGGGGAACCTTGAACCCTAAGCAGCACCTGGGGGTATTGGTGCAGCTTTTGTGCCTGATCTTTAGCTCTTGGCCCTTCAAAGGCTGTGTGGTATGCAGGGAAGGGAGGATAGTATACTGGAATGCAGGAGCCCAGTCCCCCAGGCCAAACCCGTAGGGACCCTGGGTAAGGCCTGCAGGCGAATGGCCTTCAGATTTTACCTAGAAACTCTGTGATCTCTCTCTTGTCATTAGCTCCCGAATCCCACCATTAAACTCTTCAGCTACCATGTGCCCTGGGGCGGATGCCTCCTGAGTTCCAGAACCCGTGGCTGCTCCTGTCAGTGACTCATCCTTGGAGCTCCCGGGCTGCCAGCCCACAGGAACTGGAGCGGAAGGCTGGCTCAGCCTGTTCCTGTTTATGAGAAGGGAGGTTCTGTCCCATTCAGCTTTTCTTCCCTTCCCTAAATGGCCAAGAGTGACCTCCCCATCATGCCCACACAGTCACAGGGGGCCCTGACTAATAGAACATCATTCGGCTGTTTGGGCTTCTAGAACTACTGGTTGTCAGAGCCTGATAGACCCTAAAGGGTATCTGTTCTAGACTGCTAATTTCCCAGATGGGAAAACTGAGGCACGAGAGGGGAAGCGGATTGCTGAGGGTCAGCAGTTAGCCATGGTGGAGACAGGACGGCAGCTGCCTCTGTGAGCACTATTAGCAAATATGCCAAG